CCTGAACCTGCTCGCCGCGCGACTCCCCGGCAACGCCTCCGCCTCCCCAAACGGCTTCGCCACCGCCGTGGTCGGCACGGCGCCCGGCCTGGTATACGGCATGGCCCTCTGCCGGGGCGACGCGAACGCCTCCTCCTGCCGCGCGTGCGTGGCGAAGGCGTTCGGCGACGCGCAGGCAAGCTGCCCCGGCGACACGGGCGCCTCCATGTACGAGGACGGCTGCGTCCTGCGCTTCTCCATCCAGCGGTTCCTCGACTTCCTCGGCGCGGACCAGTGGCAGGTCCGTGAGATCACTTTCTCCGTTGTCGCGGCTCCGGGCAGCCTCGCGGTTTCGGCCGCCTGGTTCGGCGCTGCGGTCAGAGCGATCCTCACCGCCGTGGTCAACCACGCGGTGTCGTCCCCGTCGCTGGCGGCGAACAGCAATTCCACCATGAGAAGCAAGTACTTCGCCACCGGCGAGGAGGCCTTCAACCCGAGGATTTACGGCCTCGCGCAGTGCATGCCCAATCTGGTGCAGGCGCAGTGCGACGGCTGCCTCCGGAGACTCCAAGATGAGGCAACGCCCTACCTTGATGGCGGCACTAACCCCGGATGGATCGAGGTTGGTTCAGCGTGGTGCATCCTGAGGTACAGCGTGCGGCCGATCTACGACGGCCAGGCAATGCTCCAGCTTCCGGCGCCGCCGCGGCCATCTCCTTCTGTCACTCCCGACCATGCAGCAGGTAGTACTAGTAGCTAGCTAGCACACTTTCATCAGTTTCCCTTCTTATTTGAACAAGGCATATTTATCTTCTACTTTTATCACCATGCATTCAGGAAACACAAGGAGTGCAACAGGAATCTATGCAGGCATTGCTTCTTCTGTTGTCTTTTTATTGATTCTACTATCAGTTTTCGCTTTCATCCGCTTCAAGAGAAAAATTAAGACCGCTGAAGATGATAATCGTGAGTAGAATCCTGCATCTAGCATGTCATCTGTTCAACAGCCGGACTTACCGTTTGCTGACAACTTTCTTGCTTTTCACATGACACCAGCATTCAAGAAAATGGCGAGAGCCTTGATCTTCGATTTGACGGCACTGCAAGAGGCAACCCACAACTTTTCAGAAGCGAATAAGCTTGGAGAAGGCGGTTATGGAATTGTATACAAGGTACGAACGCAAGCAAGAAAGCGAGTGAAAAAGGAGAGTCTCGATGTATCGCGCATTCAGGCCTTGTCTGAAAAGCAATTTGCATGTTTCAGGGAATACTGCCGGATGGGCAAGAAATAGCAGTGAAGAAGCTCTTGGGAGCAACTGAGCATGGTTTGCAACAGTTGCGCAATGAGGTGCTTCTATTGGCAGAGCTTCAGCACAAGAATCTTGTCAGATTACAGGGGTTTTGCTCACATCGGAACGATACGTTGCTTGTTTACGAATATATCAACAATGGGAGCCTCGACAACTTTCTTTTCGGTATTTATTTTCCTCTCCACTCGCTACTCTGAATCGTGCTATGCAGTGGCCGGCCATTCGCTCAGTGCGGTTGTATCAAGAATGAAAATGTCTTTTACAGAAAATAATCACTACTGGAGTATTTCCAGCAAATAAGTTACACAAACAAGATTGATACTGTTTTTTTTCTTCCAAACTTCTTCAGGCAAGTGAGTAGTATAATTGTTCCTCATTTATCTTTGGGCATAATCTAATATGTAAGTTGAACATCATTATTTTCTGCAACAGATACTAGGGAGGAAAATACTGTAAACTGGGGGCAACAGTACAACATCATTCTTGGAATTGCAAAGGGAATATTGTATCTTCACGAGGACTCGAGCCCAAGGATAATCCACAGGGACCTTAAAGCTAATAATATTCTTCTTGACGAGGAGATGGATCCTAAAATCGCAGACTTTGGATTGGCAAGGCTGCTACAAGAAGGTCACACTCATACTCAAACCACTAGAGCTGCCGGAACACTGTAAGTCAAATGCGTATAATGAAGTTTGCAAAAACAAGAAAGATACTTGTAATTATGAACTATTTCACTTAGTGAAGGTGTGTTTCCAAGCCTAATTGCTCATCCTCTGCAGCGGTTATATGGCACCGGAGTATGCTGTACACGGAAGTGTGTCACCCAAGATTGATATTTTCAGTTTTGGTGTACTAGTCCTTGAAATTATAACCAGGAGAAGGAACTGCGGTTCAGATTATGGGGATACCGTGAACCTCATTAGTGATGTAAGTGTTGGATTTACTTTAAGTTCATCAGTTTTTAGTGCCTTTGAACAATGTAACATTTAAATTATCATATCTAAAAGCATCATCCATGTTAACCATCTACCAGGTGTGGAATTACTGGACAAAAGGAACAATATCAGAAATGATGGATGGATCACTCAATGGATACCCTCGAAGCCAAGCGCTACGGTGCATCCACATCGGGCTACTGTGTGTCCAACCGGACCCTGATGACAGGCCTCAAATATCAACCGTCATTTTCATGTTAACAAGGGACACCATGGAGCTTCAGCCACCGGCACAGCCTGCATTCTTCTTTGGGACAGAATTGCCGTCTCCAGCTTCTCCACGATATGGGCAACGCCGGGATGTGCATGCCCGGTTTGATTTAGTACCGGAAGATGACGTATCTTGGAATGGGGTTACGATTACTGAGCCATATCCTAGGTGATATACGATCTGGATTCTTGAAGCGGTCCTGTCATGTTTTGTCATAATGGAGGCCAGTTGGCTGGATTAGGTTTACGTCTTCGTCACGATCGAGTCTTGTAATCATGGCCTCAAGCCGCACGAGATGAATGATAGTACACTTATTTTGCGGTGCAAGGCGGAACGTTATTCATGAAAATCTGTTCCAAAGCCCCTTCTCTACTCATTGCTTCATCGAGAATTCATGGAAGATCAAGAACTAGTAGTGGCACAGAGCAAGATAAATGAGGTTCCTGCAAGACAAACAGAGGTCAATGTGTGGATCCCCTGGCCCGCTGGCTGGACGAAGATCAACGTGGACACTGGACAGAGTCTTGGGAGCTTCTTCTGTTATTTTCAGGGGGATTTCAGATGCAAAAACGGTGTAGTTGTTGCGATCAGGGAGGCTCTCTCGTTGGCGGACGATTTGCTTATTCGAAGAGCTAAGGTAGCCCATGATTCTCCCAGGGTGACCAATATCCTGTGTGAAGACTCCAGAGCAGTTTATTACCACATCACCGACGAGATCAAGGCTAAAGGTGCGAAACAGGATGGCATTGTTTTTTGCCATGAGAATCGCGGCTCAAAAATTGAAGCTCATAGGCTTGCTTGATCAAACGATTTAGGAATAGTATTGAACGGCTTGTTCTCTAGTGGGAACCCCTCGTCTATTGACATAGACGTTCATGCCGCCTGGATCCGCGCCGGCGGCTACCGTGTCAATTGTTTTGGTGGCGGCACCTAGGGTTTTGGCCCAGATGTGTCATGATAGGTGGGGATGCGGCCTCCCTTTCCTACCCGTGGAGTTCTAACGGGCTTGGGGTTTGCGTCGCCTCCTGGCTTGCGGGTCCGTCAGCTCTGGCACGCGGTGAGGACGAGGAGATGGGAATGCCAGTGAAAACCAGGTCGTCCTTGATGGCAAACGATGGCGGCGTCTTAGGGCGTCGTTACCTTCATAAAGGCATCGTCGGTGCAGTTCTTGTCTCCTCGCTCGGGCTGCTCCGGGGGAAACCCCGGATCTTGGCCATGCGGATCGGACGATGGTGACATTCCGCGTTGCTCTACCTCCCAGGGACATCGCTTTGGAGTAGCTACTAGCTAAAGGGGTGGCTGGGCACAGTTCTCCGCATGCTTCTCGTGCGGTGGCCAAGGTGGAGCGGTATGCCATCTACGGTATCGACGGCAACGAGTCTTGGCGGCAAGGTGCGGCGGGGTCTCGGTGCTGGATACCGTTTGATGGGCGTGTGCAAGAGGCTGGTGTTGTCCAATGTCATGGTGGCATAGACATCAGAACAATCTGGCAAGATCGGTGCATCGATTGATCTTGAAGATGGAACTGTGGAAGCAGGCGGTGACAAACTCTTCAGCGTGCGCATGCAGTTTACGCTAAGGGTCTGCTAGACTGGTTAGTGCTCTCGGTTAGCCGGCCGGCGGCTTGGTAAGGCCATCAAATTTCTTGGTGTGTGTGGTTCACGGTCAAGGCACATCATCAACTTGTAGGTAGAGCGCCAATTGTCACTAGGAAGGTGACTTTGGATTGATCTATATATTTATTTTGTAAGATCTTGTTAAATAATGCAATAGAGATGATTGTGACGCGTGTGTAATCATCCTTTTAAAAAACGTAACCTATAAAAAAGATAGCAAAATATATTCTTTTTGAAACTGTCACCGGGGGGAAAGGCTCCCCACCTGAATATATTTCAAAAAAGAAGAGAGAGTTTACAGACTAGAGAAGTCGAGAGGAAAAGAAGTCCCGCCACAAGCCGGCATGGGACTTGTCCTCGGCCTTTCGAAGGCGGTGAGACCAAAGCATGAGATCCGCAATGATTCCCTTAATTACATCATTGGGCGAGACATCAACCTGGCGAAAGGTTTTTGCGTTTCGCGCATCCCAAATTTTTCATATGATGAGAATAAGAATGAAGGGCCAAACCGACCCTGGGAGCCCCGCATGGGCCGGTGGCGACCACAAAGCTGCAAAGGGAGAGGTGCATGGGAGGAACCCAATGGCGTCCCAGATGCTGCGCGAGGCAGGGCAGAGGAAGAACAAGTGGGTTCGGTCTTCCGGCGCAGACGCACATCTAGCACATGAGGAGGAGTCGAGGATGGTCTTCCGATGAAGATTAGCCCTAGTGTTGAGCCGGTCGAGGTAGAATAGCCATCCAAAGACCTGCACCCGGCTTGGCACACGCGAGTCCCAAATGCAAGCCAGAGTGGGGTCGGCGAGTTGTGTAGTCCGGTCTGGCGTTTGCTTCATAGCGGTGCTAATATATTTTTTGGCTTCATAGAGAACCCACTCAGCACGCTAATATCTTTATCTTCGTTGTTTGCATCCCGGCGAAACCGTTGCAACGCACTCTTCGGTGATATAAGATTTAGATGTGTAATACTTATGGCACATCTAGGAATATATATCTTCTAGAAAATCTAGGTATATATATAAAGCACATGATGAAAAGCATGGATTTATTATCTAGTTTTACATTTGAAAACTAGACTTTGCCGGCAGCAGATAATCTGTCGGGATTATTGCTTAATCTCGTGGTAGTAAAGCTTCGCCTTGGCTACAGTTTCTTCGGCTCAGGCCCTTGACGGGAGCACGCAGTTGCCTATCTCTGCAAAGAGTGGAACAAGCAAACATGTACGAAATCATCATTAACAAACAGACTCGTACATTTTGTTTTCGTGAAACTAGAATCATAAATACAAAGCAGATACTCCCTCCTTTCCGGTTTATAAGGTTCAATTTAAAAATCTCACCAACTAAGATAGATGGTGAATGGTGGAATACCTTTTGAAGTTTGCAAAAGCACCCAAATTTTTTTTTTTTTTTTGCGGGGAAAAAGCACCCAAATTAATGCTCTTGTTTTCCTCAAAAAAGTATGTTTACCAATGCATTAATTGCATTGCATACATGCATAAATTACATGCATTGGTCAATTTTTTCTTAATACTTGCATGCAATGATTTAATGCACCTTGGAATCTAAACATGTGATGGGAAACAACCAAATTGTGCCTTATAAAATAGGAAAACTAAAATTTTGAGATAAGCACTATAAACCGGAAAGGAGGGAGTAACTTACTTGGTGCCTGCCGGACAATGGTACCAGCACCGGCAAAGTCACACGTTCCGGCGGCCCGGCTATGGCGCTGGTAATAGTCATTGAACGCGAAGGACGCATGGGCGACCTTGGTGTCGGGATCGAAGCACCGTGCTCCAGGTTGGATGTCAGTGCAGTCCGCGCCGTGGCCGCAGGCATAGTCCAGCGCGTTCTGCAGCCGCGCGGCGGCCACCGCCGCGTTCGCCACACACCAGCTTGGGCTCGGGTCGCAGCGGCCTACGCAAGCAATGGAATCGTCATGGCTGGTTTCCTGTGTGGAGCAGATAGTTGTCGTATTCAAGGACTCACCTGATGGTGCCTGGTTGACAATGCTGCCGGCACCGCCGAAGTCGCACGCGCTGCTGGCCCGGCCGTTCTTCTGGTAGTAGTCGTTGAAGGCGTACGACGCGTGCGCCAGCTTGGTGTTGGGCTCGTAGCAGGGCTTGCCTGGCTGGATGGCGCTGCAGTCCGCCCCGTGGCCGCACGCGTAGTCCAGCGCCGCCTGCAAGGCCGCGTCCCCGGCCGTGGCCTTCGCGGTGCAGTATCAGCCTGGACGGCACGAGCGGGCTTTCCGGCCCGCTCGTGGCCCGTTTAGGACCGGCCCGTACGGTCCTAGCCCGATAGAAAAGTGTGCCGGTCCGAGCCCAGAAAAGCAGAGCGAAAAAAGTTCGGTGCGGTCTGGTTTTTAACCGGGCCGACCGAGCGGACCGATGGCGCAAGGCCCAGCCCATCTAATGTAACAGATCGATAGAGGCCCTGCCGAGCACCCCTTCCCCTCGTTCCATCCCCTCCCTCCTCGCTCGATTCCTCCCCCTCCTCACAAACAGAGGCGCCTCCTCCTTTGCTCTATCCCTAACCCTAACCGAAGGCGACGGCGCCGTTGCCCGCGGCTCTCCCTTCACCGACGGCGTCATCTCTTCCGAGTCCGAGCTGGAGGAGCACATCTACGTCGGGGAGGCAGCAAGGCCAGCACGCCGTCGGTCCGTCCTTCCCTGGTTCCTCACCGAGCGCCACGAAGAGGAAAAGGTAATGTGTCCCTAACCTGTAACCCTCGGCCCTCGCCAAACTGAGATGATTCAGAGAAACTTAGATAGGAGATCTGGAGATGTAGTGTTTGGTCAGGAGATAATGGTGATTGGTGAAGGAGAAGGGGAATGAGAGGGGAATTGTGTGATGCTGGTGTTCATTCTCGAACCTGATTTTTCAGCTAAATTCTTAGACACCAGCAGCCGCAGGTTCGAGAATGCCGCTAGTGATCCCCTGGTGCTGCTGTTTTTTTAGATAATGGTCAGGATTCAGGAGATAATTATGTTCATTTTCACTAGTAGTAGATGATTTTCTATGCTACAAAAGCCTGTTCCTGTTCATTTTGTATGATGCAACCTGATTTTGTGCGTATTTTGTTCATACTCGTTCCCTGTGATGTGTACCATGGTCTGAGATATTTGTTGTTTTTGTAACCTGATAATCTGAGTTATGTGCTGTGTTTTGTAGATAATGGTGAAGGAGAAGGGGAATGAGAAGGGAAAGGGTGCTGGTAAGGAGAATGCGAAGGCAAAGGCAAAGGAGAAAAGCGTGAATTACCTAATTAGACAAGATTCGGCGTTGCCTCCGCCGGTTCCGAGGAAGAAGAGGAAGCCTAAGGTGCAGATTAAGAAGGCGAAAGACTTTCCCAATGCCCCAACGGGAGAGTTGATTTGTAGGTTAAAAAACACCATCCACCTCCGAGGCGTCTCCCCGACCGCACCAGTGCTGGCGTGCGTGCCGCGGAAGCCGCTGCCTCTACTATTGTAAGATTGCTTTACTTGATGCTTGATGTAGCCATATTTCCATATAACCATATAGGTGATGCTTGATGCTTATTTGTGTGCTCATGTGTGTTAGGTGGTAGATGACGAGGAGAAGGAGGATGAGGACGAGGACGAGGACGAGGACGTGGACATGGATGAGGATGAGGACAAGGACAAGGACAAGGACGATGAGGAATATGAGGAGCAAAATCTGTTTATAGTCCCACCACAACCGAGTGCTGATATGTCGGATGATGATACATTAGAAGGGTATAAGGAATCAGCTGATGAACTAGAAGGTGACACTATGTCCGAGGAATCACTTGTGCATGTTGTATCTAGTGAGGAGGAGGCAAGAGAAAGGAAAAAGAACAAGAGGCGAAGAGCCAATGCTCCTGTTAGGATGTCATCGGATGTTTGGGCCCATTTTCACAAGGTCAAAGAGCCATCGACGGAGCATCCGGGAGAGATTGTGTTGAAGGCTGTTTGTAATTATTGTCCCAAAAAGAGGTATGCGTATACGCAAGGTGGCAGCACCTCAACTATTGGAAGGCATATCTTAAAATGTGAAGGTTTAAGGAACAAGATCGCTAGGAATGCCATCCAAACAACTCTTGAACTGCGCAAAATCAATGGTCCAACAAGTGCTCCAACAATGCACCCCTCTATTGAGTACAACCAAGGAATCGTCAAGGAGCTTATTGCTAAGATGATATGTGTGCATGAGTATTCATTTAGAATGGTTGAACATGAGTGGTTCAACATTCTGATGAAGTGCATGAATCCAAATTATAAACCCATTGGAAGGAAGGCAATACGAGCCGAGTGCATGAGGGTTTACAAGAACGAAAAAGAGGTGCTGAAATCTCTCCTAAAGGGTGTGAGCTCCATATGTCTAACTACAGATTTGTGGACAAGCAACCAAACCTTATCTTACATGTGTGTGGTTGCACACTATATAGATGAGAATTGGAACTTACAAACCCGTGTGCTTGCTTTCATAGAGTTGGATCCTCCTCACTCTGGAAATGTCATTGCGGATGCTCTCTATGCGGTTGTGCTAGAATGGAATATTGAGACCAAAATTATGTCCGTCACACTTGACAACGCTTCAAACAATGATGGTGCGGTCGATGCTTTGAAGGCCAAGTTCTTGTTCCGGAGAGGTATGATTCTATCCTTGCTGAATATGCTTGCTGTTTTTGCTCATATGCTTGCTGTTTTTGGTCATATGCTTGCTGAATATGCTTGCTCATATGCTATTTTGTGCTCATATGCTATTTTGTGCTCATATGCTTGCTGAATATGCTATTTTGTGCTCATATGCTTGCTGTTTTTGGTCATATGCTTGCTGAATATGCTTGCTCTTTGAGCTCATATGTTTGATGTTTGTGCTCACATGCTTGCTATTTTTGCTCATATGCTTGTTGCTATGCTCATATAGAAGCTCTTTTGTAGGTAAGGACTTCGAAGGCCAATATTTTCATATCCGTTGTTGTGCACACATCCTCAACTTGGTCGTGCAAGATGGGACAGCGATCTTAGATAATTTGATAAACAGCTTGAGAGAGACGGTGAAGTACTTCAAGAGGTCACCTTCTCGTCTCCATGCTTTTGTTGCCACTTGCAAAAGCTTGGGTGTCAAAGTTGGTAATCATTTACACTTGGATTGTAAAACAAGGTGGAGTTCAACCTTTAAGATGATTAGCACTGCCCGTGGATATAAGGAAGCCTTGACCTCTCATGCTGGTTCAAATGCCAACTATGCTTGGGCGCCGACAAACGCAGAGTGGGACATGTATGACCTTATCTCTCCATTACTTGAGAGTTTGGCTGAGGTGACAAAAGCATTTTCAGGAAGCTTATATCCCACTTCGAACATCTTCTACCCATACATTGTTGGTATCAAGCTTGCAATCAAACATGCAATGGCTAGTGACAGTGACCACTACAAGGAAATGGGTGAAGCAATGTTGGAGAAGTTTGACAAATATTGGGAAGAAAAGAACAATGCCATGGTGATCGCAACCATCTTTGATCCTAGGTACACATGCTTGCTGTTTTTACTCCCGTGGTTGCTGTTTTTTTACTCATATGCTTTCTAATTCACTCCAATGCTATCATCTTTGATCCTAGGTACAAGATGGGTTACATAGAGTGGGCCTTTGGAGAACTATATGGAGAAGGAAGTACGAGGTTTAGGACTGAGATCAAAACTGTGGAGAAAGAGTTGGCAGCCTTGTATGACAAATGTGTTGCTCAAAATAAGCAAGCTGGAAATGGAGAAAGCTCATCTTCCTCTACAAACATTCCTAGTATCCCGGTTCAAGCTGGGTACGAGGCCTTCTTATCGTCCCGTTCAACAAGAATATCAAAGAGTGAGTTGAGGAACTACTTAGAGGATGCGGTTGCCCCTCGCGACAAGGCTCTTGATCTTCTTGGTTGGTGGAAAGAGAATGCTCCAAGGTACCCAATGTTGGCCAAGATAGCCAAGAGGTTCATTACTATCCCGGCTACCTCCGTGTCTTCGGAATCTACCTTCAGCACGACCGGAAGGATTTTAGGTATGTCAACTCATACTATTGAACTTTGGATATAAACTTGTCAACTTCTCATCCTCACTCTAGTTTGTCAACTTGTGTCGTATTAGATGACTATAGGAGTTCGTTAAAACCGGTTATGGTGGAGGCATTAGTTTGTGGTGCAAGTTATATCAAGGGTGCTCATGTTGACTTGAATCTGGTGGTATGTTTGCCATCTTTTCCTTACCTTTGCTTTATTTCTTTTTTGGTCTTGTTGTATGTGATGTGAGCATTTGTCTAACTTCCACACTTGTAGCCGAGGGATGAGAATGAAGAGGATGATGTTGAGAACATCAAGTTACCCACTATGGTGGAGGAGATCAACGATTGGTAACTATTCTTCCTACATGTTTCACTTGTCATACGATACCAAATATTATTTATGTGAATGTTGCTTATCTTACTTGTAGACATTCATCATGTGGATGTTGATCTTGCTATTTTGGAGATGAATGTCAAAGTGATCTTTCTCATGTGAAGGCTACTTTTGCATTTCTGTTATGTTTGTCATGAACTATGAATTGTCACTGCTAGCTTGGAGATGAACCTCTCATTTGTGTTATGTTCAACTTGTCAATTGCCATGGACTTGGAATTGTTAGAGCAAGTTTGTAATCGTGTCGTTCAATGATGATAAGACCTTATGTTTGTGGATGTGATATTGTGCTTAACCTGATTTGTGCCATCTTTCATGTCAAAATCAGTTTGTGGATGTCCAAAAAACAAAGGAAATGCTGTCCAAATTTAGTTATTCTTGCTGTCCAAAATGTCAAAATCAGTTTGTGGATGTGATATTGTGCTTAACCTGATTTGTGGTGCACTTTGGTTTTTGGTCAGGTTAGGGTCGAACGCTTTCTTTCTGTTAGCTAGTTCAGCTCGCGGGTCTAACAGCTTGAGCGAGTCTCGTGCCTCGTCAGTCTGCTCGTTGGATGGCACGAATGCTGTGAATCATGACAGCGAAAGTCAGGTGCCACGAAGCCCTGTTTCCTGTTCTGTAAGTCTGAATAAATAGCAAAGATATACTGTAGAACAGAAAAGCTCTGGAGTGTGTGCAGAATAAAACACTGATGTCTCTCGTTCGTGTGTGTTCGTTCCAAGCCCACCTCGGGTGCTGACAAGCACGTCGGTGAACACACACACGTTGGTGTGCCCCATCTTGTTCCCCAGGAACCCCGAGTCGATCTCGTCATGGCCGTCCCCCACAACTGATGCCTGAATTTGCAGTCAATTGATGCACATACAGTCACCATGATTGCAGTACAAGCTCATCAGTAATCTGAAATTGGAAGCGACGATGTAGGCACGTAGTATGTGCTGATGGTGACGGTGCCGGCCGGCGGCGGAGTTCTCCGGGACGAGCTTGATGTAGGTAGAGACGCTACCATAGATGAACTGCATCTTCGTCTACAGCAAACAGCCGGAGGAGTTGCTCTTCAGGGACAGGGTACGGCACGGACGCACGCACGCTGGGCACACGCGCAGGGCACACACATGCAGGCGCCGGGGCACACGCGCAGCTCACGCCCCGCCCCGCCCCGCCATCGCTCGGTCCCTCGGTCCTGACCGAGCTTTCTCCTCGTCGGTCCGGTTCAGGAAAACAGGCCCGCTGGGCACTTCGGTCCGGTCCGGTCCGGACCGGTCGCGGCCGGTCCAAAGCGCGGCTCGGTCAGGGACCGGACCGGCCCGGACCGTGTCCACCCTGAGTGCAGTAGCTCGGTTGCACGGGGCCGGCACCAGTGCCGCCATGGACGAAGTCGACTTGGTACACGGGCTGCTGGTTCGGGTAGAACAACCCGAAGTCCTGCTCGTCTTCGGGCTTGTTGTCCTCATTGAAGAGTTCGAAGATGTACACGTCAAGATCGGCGTTGGGACGGTGCGGGGTGCCGACAGCACTGGTGGCGAGCCGGTTATATCTGTTTGAGGTGGTGCCGGAGTTACCGCCACGCACTTTTCTCATGAGACCATCGGTGAACGCTTGGGCGTTGGCTCTTGTTCCCACGCCATGGTGGCCTCTGGTTGGGTGGTGAATCTCACCAAGCTTCACCTCCAGTATTCCGCCCCCTGCTGTGAGCTTCCTCATCCCCCCAGCACGCAGGCTGGAGGACGGCAGCTTCTCCATCGCATAGTACACAGCGTCAAGCTGCGCGTCGAGGAGGCTGAAGTACGTTTGCCTGCTATTCCTGTCAAGAATGCCAGCGTTGGGGCGGAACAAGAGATAGTCGATGGACATGCCGGGAGTACTGAGGTACGCAAGGTACGGGTAGATATTCATCATGAGGTACGACCCGGTTTCCTGCAAGAAGTCGACCATGGGGCTCATCACCGACAACGCGATGTCGTCACGGAACGCACCCTCGGAGGGCGGGAACGACGTCTTGAGCGCGTCGAACGCGATGGGCGTGGTCACCTTCACGGCGTCCGCCAGGCCCAGTCGAGCCAGCGCCGCTTGCACCTTCTTCATGGCCGGGACGAGCTGGGAGTTCAACTGACTAGCCTCTTTGAAGACCTCGTTCCCGATCGTCACGCCATTGATCTGCGTGGCCGGGTAGTAGGCCTTCACATTGTTCTGCACCCATTGATCAGCGAAATTTTGGTCCGTGGCAGCGGAGGGCAGCTCCTCGTTGGTTAGCTCCACCGTGACCTTGATGCCGGTGTCGGCCAGCGAGCGCAGCACCGTCGGGTCGGTGTCGTAGATCCTCACCATGGTGATGCTGTTCTTCTTGAGCAGTTGCACCACAGTCGCCGGGTCAGGCAGGTTAGTCGCCATCCTCCCATAGCACACGCCTACCTCACCCCCCTCTGCAGTACGTGCGTGTACAATAAGAAACATCACAATTAAGTCATACACTTCAATGCAAAGGCAATGGTTATCGTTCTTTCTCAAAAATAAAAAGTTATATCATGCACCTACAAGTCTTACTGTTGTATGACTTTGTAAGGTCTTGTGTGAATAATTAATAAAGTGGTTGCATGCATCGTCCAGATGCAGAGGCCGTGTGTCCTTCTCCATTTTTTTAAAAAAATATCATGCACCTACGCCGTATATATGTTTCCAGAAAAACATACGATAATCTTTTTTTTTTACGGGATAACGTCTCCGCGATGATTACCTGCACGGGAGAAGAAGAGCAGCGGCACTGTGATGCCGAGGAGGACGCCCAGAAGGCGACTCGTCAGCGCCATGCCCTCGGTGGTCTGTATAGTGGAGCTAGCTAGCTAGGGCCTTAGGAGACGATGATGATCGAGCTGATGAGTTGGGAATGATTACAGGCGGGCTGGAATTTATAGTCGGCACCAACGGTAAGATGGAGCCATGGAGGTGCTACAACTTTTTTCCTTTGTGCAAGTGACGGCGGCAGCCACAACAAGACGTACGATAGTGCAACCAAAATTGGGGTATATGCAATGCCAATTGTAGCATGCATATACGCCTAATTTGGACTTGGACTGGTCGAGTCGATGAGCTACAACTTGTGCCAGAAGACCCATGCTTGGGTACACCTCCCTTGCCCCTAAATCTAAGAGACGGTCGGATAAATGCTCACTAGTGGCAGTATCCCCGGACCCCGCCCACACAAAATCAATGAAAAGAAACATGCAACGCTCGCCATTTCTCTTATCTTATACAGAAGAATTACATCGCTCACGGACACAAAACCGACGGCTACCTGCCGATAGATGTCTTTCACTGGAAAAAGCACAGAGAACTCCATGCATTTGTCAACACGTGTGGAAAAGACTAGACGCGGGTCAATGCAATAGCTATCACTACCTGTGGGCTGTGGGTGCTTGCACCAATAGCTCATTATTGTTGTCTTGTATTGAAATCGTCGCTTGCAACCGTCTGTTCTGTGCGCCTAGTTGCCCACTTGTAATCTTGCATATCTTCTCATTTATGTAATTATCTTGTACAGCAACCATGGGTTGGGTTGCAACTATCTTTCATGTGCGCCCAATTGCCTCGTAGGGCTCATTGGGCTTACATTTTTTTTAAATCAGACCAATAGAAATGGTAGAGGATTAGGATACCTATTCCGATCCAATCCTGGATATTGATGAGGTCTCGCCACGCAAATGCTAAGAAATCAAAGGAGTTAGGTCAATTTGGACACAATCATATCATCTCATTTCCTGTTTCACATAGTTCTCATCTGCGCTGTTGTGAATGGAACACGTATAAACCTAGGTTTTCATGATTTTTTCAGTTGGTGTAGAAGATCATGTTAATTCTTAATGATACCAGTTGAAGCAGCAAGCGCCTTTTGAAGAAACATCAAATAATATTGGCTTGGCCAATAGTATTCAAATAATTAAATCTTATAAAAACTCAAATAATTCAATCTTATAAAAACTCAAATAATTCAATCTTATAAAAACATAGTGCAAATTAGATGTGAAATTGATTTTTGGACCGCCTAAGTGAAACGAGTGAGACAAAGAGATCGATGGTGGTAATGGCCATCTATCAAGTGCGGCTAGCTCGAAACAGTGCAAGAGATGGCAAGGGTATAGAGGATCCTGTGTAGGTCGCTGACCAGGCCCGAAGGTTGCAGAAGGAGTGGTTGATTATCAAAGAGGCTAGACAGGCCGGTCCCGGCCAATATCGGGAGCACTTGAGTGCGCCGGAGGAGGGTTGGATTAAGACGAATGCTGATGGTGCAATTGGAAGAGTTCCGGGGATGGAGCAGGTGGAGGGATCCTTCGAGATCACCATGGCAACTTTGTGGTAGGAGCTTGTTAGTTTTTCCCATCAGCCTCGAATCCGGAGTTGGTTCACTTGTTGGCATGCAGGAGGGCTATTTAGTTATTTCTTGAATTGGGCTTGCCTATGGTGGTGTTGGAGACGGATGATCAGATTGCGCGAGATCCCGAACGGAGGAGGAGTTGAACAGGTCGGTCTACGGGCCGCTCATTGAGGAGAACAAGGACTAGCTAAGGTCCAGAGAAAGCCTTTAGGTGAAATGGGAAGGGCGAATGGTAAATGAAATGGCACATGTCTTAGCTAAAGTGTATTGTGCCAACGATGTGTGCAAGTCATGGTTGCATGAACCATCAGAGTGTGTATCCGATATCGTAATAGCTGAACGTTATGAATAAATTAAACCGCAAAGTTCCTACTAAAAAAGTCAAATATGTCATTAGACCCTCCTATTGTCGAGTGCAACCTTGCTTGGTAGTGCGGCGTGAAATTACCAAATTTTGTCAGCTCGTGTGGATAAACTAAAGCTAGAGGCCAACCAACAACTAGCGATACTTTTATTGTTTTGTGTCTATGGCGCTAGCTAGTACTCCCTCTGTTCCAAAATAGATGACTCAACTTTGTACTAACTTTAATACAAAGTTGGGTCATCTATTTTAAAATGGAGGGAGTATGTATCTCGTGGAATATCCAGGCCACGTGGTTATGGCTTGCTGGGCAGATTACACAGATGGTGGTTGGCCGGTTGCGCTAGCTAGCTTGTGAATGTCCGTGACACTAGCGGTTATACATCCAAATGCTAGCTACTCACGGGGAAACTTAAGACTCCAAACACATACTACCGATGAACAAATAATTGGCCTCTGCATTTGAACATAGGAGAAAACTACATTATTTCCGGTATCTCAACTAGTATTGACTGAGCATAGTTTCATCCTTCAACTCCGAAACCGTCCAAAACTAATCCACTCAACTGTCTTTTTTCCTTTTACGCACAGTAGTCCCCTCGACTGTCAACTACGAATACCGTTGAACTTTTATCCGCTAGAGTGGTCTTGTGTATTTGCGTCTTATTTATGACCGGTTGGATATATGGCACCGAGGTGTTGGTTTGTATGAGTGTATAGAGCATTCACACTTTGAGATAATGATTTTGAGTGACATGTATTGGTGCAGTTTAGTAAGGTCATGGTGGTGCTACGTCAGTCGGTATGATTGGACAAAGGCATTGTTATGATGAGAAGCTGTGGGTTTATTTTTATTTTGAATTTTATAAAGATCGTTGGAGAGGCTCCTACTAAAAGTGGAGTAGATCTTGTCGTGCTTGGGGAGAAGGTGGTGGGAATTATCAATATTTGGATATTGTGGAATATGTGGAAGCTGGGAGAGAATGGTGGATCTTTAGTGCAAAGGTAGGCATGCTTGCACTCGGTAATGGATGTGTGCTTAAATACATCATGAAGTGGGTTGGACACTCTCACTTGACGCACATGCGATTAACTTATCACTTTAAAAGCGATTATTTGAAGTGCACAAAACCTTAGGCTACAGGTGCCTCATGACAAGCATGGGTAAACATAGCCGCCAAGGAGGAAAAGGAAGACGACCCGGCAACTTGGCGCACGGGACAGACGGCTGCAAAAGCGACGTTTTCCATACAAGGACAACAATGTGTCTATCATGAAAATGAAGCACCCGGCCCTGCCTCAAGCAGCGCTAAGTGCTGCATTGACCGGCGTCTTCCCTAGTCTTTTCCACATGTGTTGACAAAATGGTGGAAAGTAGCAGGAAGCAAGAGCATGGGGTTCTCTGCGTTTGATCCAGGCATCATACTGCCACTTGTTTCGTGCCGGCGAGCATCGGGTGTAGAAGACAAGAGAAAGGGCCCCGTGGCCGGGATACCGCCACCAGTGAGCATTTTGGCCCCGTGCCTGTCCAAGCTTGCATGTCTCTTCGGTGTATCAAAGGCGTCCCGACTAGGCC